CCTAGGTTGCTTCCAGCATTTGGCTACTGTAAATTATGCTGCTATAAACATTGGGGAGCATAGGTTCTTTTGGATTAAAAATCCTTTATTTAAAAGTTTCTTTAACAGCCCTGGCTGGTCTAGCCAGTGAATTGAGCATGGGCCTGTGAAGCAAGAGGTCAGTGGTTCAATTCCAAGTCAGGGCATATGCCTGGGTTGCAGGCCGGGTCCCCAGTTGGGGGCATGAGAGTGGCACCTGATAAATGTTTCTCTCCTACATCGATATTTCTCTCCTCTCTTTCTTTCTTCCTTCTAAAAAAATAAAATCTTTAAGAAAAAAGAATAGTAGGAAAGCAAATAGGATAATGAGGATGATAAGAGAGGAAGAGGAAGAGTCTGGGAAGAATGAAAAAGTGTGAAGAGAAAGGGGGAAACCTGGGCAACCACAGTTAATAAAACTGGATTGTATAACAAAATTTACTAAGAGGTAGAACTTAAATGTTATTGCAAAAAAAAAGGTGAAGTGAGGTGAGGAATGTGTTAATTAGCTTGATGGGGGAAATCCTTTAACAAGGTATATGTATCAAATCATCATGTTGTACACTTTAAATATTTTACCATTATATCTGTCAATGATGCCTCAGTAAAGGTGAAAAAAGAAAGGAGGAAGAATATGCTAAGCAAATCCAATAAATAAAAATTTAGAGTGGGTAAATTAAAAGGTAGTGATTCGTTCTACACTATGGGACACAATGAAACGTAAAGTTTCATTACATCTAAAACAGTAATATTTATCCATAAAATATTCACTCATACCTATTTTTCAGGCATAGTAAAAGTCCAGAAATACAGAACCCTTAGGTTTCATTAAGTCACACCTAATTTTTCACTTAGAGCATCAAAACATTTACTTTTATACCAATGACAGCTGTATCAAAAAGTCAACTACTTACCTCCCTGATTCAGCATCATTCGATGGAAAGGAGTCTCTAATAACTCAGTCATACTTTTAAACAACCAATGTTGGGCTTTTCTACATAAATCACTATGATAGTGATTTAGGAAAAGAAAAATCTAACATTGTAATGGTCATGGCTAAGGAAACATAGGTCGGAGTCTTAAAGTGAGGCAACATGATTTTTTCTATTATAAGTCTCATATTCCACTTAAAACATATTGTCATCCAAGGTACAGAAAGCTGGCAAGCACTGTGACTTGCTTCATATACTGCAGTCCTCAACCCTTCATAGTGACGTGTGTAAGAAGCTCTCAAAATACCATGTATTACACAGTGATCTCAACCCGCCAAACACAGTCACCCTGTATATAAGAGAACACTACTTTCTGATTTACATGGTTTAAATAACAATTCACAAAACAATCTCCCCACAAAGTGTAAGTAAAGTATACATGTAAGCCTACTGTCAGTTACAAATCCACAAAACCAGGAATTAGTCTAGGCAAATCAAGGAAGTAAAAAACATCCGAATTTAAAAGCCAACTAATAAAACAAAAAAGTAACATCTTTTAAAAGCCAAACTAAATTTTTCAGTTAACCACCTCACATAATACTACATACTTTGAGAATATTGAGAAACTGAAAATATTCATCACAGATTTTAAAACTTTAAAGTTTAACGAGAGCAAGTAACTGAAGAAAACCTGTATAGTAAATTAAGTGGAATTATATTGCTGAGAGGTCAGTAAAAATAAAAACTCAGTAAAACAATGTAAGAGGTCAGTAAAATAATTGAAAAACTATATATGTTTTCATATTAAAATTTTATACATTTCCAAAATAACTAAATTTTAAACTTTGTTGCATTATAAAATACCCTAAAATTTTGTATTTAAAAGATAAAAGTAGTAATTACATAAAAATTAAAGTAAAATTTTAAGATTTAAATGGTGTCTTTTGCAGGAACTTTCTTTTCCTCACAAGTGTGTTAAGAAATGATTACACATTATTATATACTATTTCTTTTCTATTATACCTAGATAATCATTTGATAATAGGTGGTTTAGACTCGTGAGTTAATTTGTTTTTAAATCCAAGAAAACTCAACAGTAAAAGATATAAAGCTACATTTTAATACTTCAAAATACTTTCTGCAGTCTCCCCAAATATTTATCAGCATTCTAATTATGACCACCATTAAAGCTTTTAATAAGGGTCTACTCCAGGTCAATAATAAACTACTGAATAAGGATAAAAATGGTTAAAAATATCTTGGTGTATGTTAACATATTTTATATGTATCTGTAAAAGTCAGCTTGATATATATTAAGCTGACTTTTACATCTCATGTTCAGCTTTTCCTTACAACTTAAGACTGGATACAGGAAACTCTAGAAGTCACAAAAACCAAAACTAAGTCCCCTCATATTGGCAAAATGTGTACGTAACTGTACAAATGGGTAGATTTAAGTTAAATATAAGTACCTATTAGATACATGTCTCTTATTCTATACAAAAATCTCAGGAAGTATTTTCTTAAATATGTGGGAGAAATTTCTTCTCCCAAACTGAAAGTTTATGCCCCCTAAAAGATTTAAATAGGCATAGTTACAGAAATAAGATCTTGAAATTACAGTTGTATTATATTCTGCTTCAGTTACTTCTATATGAAAGCATCAATAAAACTAATTTATCTGAGTCAATAAAACTGTGCAATGAATACTGAAAATTTAAACTTCTCCAGAGTGATTAAAAATAAAAATGTGTGCTTTTTCAAAATTACACACACCTCCTTAAAAATTAGGGCTACTACCCAGAGCAATCTTATCAAAATACCAAGTACATTTTTCACAGAAATAAAACAAACAATCCTAAAACCTGTATAGAACAACAAAATGACCCAAACAGGCAAATCGATCTTATGAAAGAAGAATAAAGCTGGAGGCATCATGTTTCCTGATTTCAAACTATCTTACAAAGCTACAGCAATCAAAACAGCAAGATACTGCCATAAAAACAGACACAGAGATCAATAGGACAGAATAGAAAATTCAGATATAAACCCATGTACATATGGTCAGTTAATTTACAACAAAGGAGCCAGGAATATACAATGTGTAAAGGACAGTCTCTTCAACAAAGGATATTGAGAAAACTGGACAGCCATACACAAAAAAAGTAAAACTGGACCATTATCTCACATCATACACAAAAATTAACTCAAATGAGTTAAAGACTTGCATGTACAACCTAAAATGATAAAAATCCTAGAAGAAAAACGGGCAGTAAGCTCTCCAACATTAGTGTTGACAATAATTTTCTAAAAATCTGACACCAAAAACCAAAAATAAACAAGTAGAACTACATCAAACCAAGAAGCTTCTGCACAGCAAACAAAACCATCAACAAATTGAAAGGCAACCTACTAAATGTAAAAAATATATACACAAAGCATACATCTGATAAGAGGCTAATATCCAAAATCTATAGAGAATTCTTACAACTAAATGGCAAAAAATTCTTATTTAAAAATCAGTAGAGTATCTGAATAGACATTTTCCTATTGCATACAAACAGATGGCCAACAGGTACATGAGAAGATGCTCAACATCACTAATCATCAGGGACATGCAAATCAAAACCACAATAAGATCACACCTGTCAGAATGGCTATAATTTAAAAGACATAAAATAAGGGTTGGTGAGGAAAAGAGAACACTTGCACACTATTGGTGGGAATGAAATTGGTGCAGTCACTGTGGAAAATAGTATAGAAGTTCCTGAAAAAATTAAAAACAAAACTACCATATGATCCAGCAATTCAACTTCTGAGAATTTATCTGAAGAAAACAAAAACAGTAACTCAAAAAGACATGCATATGTACCTCTTTGTTCATTGCAGCATTACTTACAATAGCCAAGATATGAAAACAAGTTAAGTGTCCATCAATGGATGGATTTAAAAAATATTTATATGGATATGGAATGTTAATCAGCCATTAAAACAAAATCTCATCATTGTGACATAGATGAACCTTAAGGGCATTATGTTACATTAAGTGGTATAAGTCAGAGAAAGACAAATACCATATGATATCATTTATATGTGATATCACTTTTTTAAAGGTACATAGATACAGAGAATGACGGTTGTCAGAGATGGAGTTTGGAGGAGGGCAAAATGGGTGAAGAGGATCAAAAGGCACAAGCTTCCAGTTAGAACATAAATAATTCATGGGGAATATAACATACAACTCGATGATTATATTACAGTAAATAATACTGTACTGAATATTTTAAAGTTGCTAAGAGAGTAAATCTTAAATGTTCACAAGAAAAAAACTATGTAAGGTGACAAACATTAACAAAAGTATTCTGGTGATCATTCATAATACACAAATATCAAATCAGTATGTCATTTACACCTGAAACTACTATAATTTTATATGTCAATTGCTCCTTAATAAAAAATTAGGGATATTAATAGAACCTTTAATCGCATTAGCTGAGTTTAAGTTTAGTCCCTAAAGAATACTTAAGTCTCCTTATTCTGTTATATTGTTTTATGAAATAAGTAAATTCAATCTAAACTACTTGATTATTATTACTTTGTTACTTATTTCAAACTATAACGTTCATGTACACTATTGCAAATTGATGCCAGTACCTTCTAATATAGGTCTACACCTAATTATCTATCAAACATTAATGAAAACATTACCATTCCCATCAGACATAATTTCCTTCCACTTTAAAATAAAAACTTCTAACTCAGCTCAACAACGAATCACATCTCAAATTATGGATTTGAAAAAATGTAATAGAAGCATAGGTTAAAAATAAATACAAATAAAAATAAAATCTTGCTTTTCACTAAGTCAGTGTGATTTTTGTTTGTTTGCTTTTATGACTATATGGATTATGTCATTCTTCTGGGCAAGTTCAATGGGCAGCCCTCATTCCTTAGAAACTCAGAAAACCCCCGCAGGCTTAAACTGTCTGAGAACTTAATCTGATACTGTCAGCCAAGGACACCAGAAGTAGCACTGTACGAACATTTGTACTAAACTTTAACACTGTTCATTAACAGTGTTCCATTTTCCTGAGTTTGTGTTTGTTCTTTGGCATTGGCTTAGGATATAGTCCATTTTTCAGAAGGGCGAAGCAAAGTCTGTTAAGATTTTTTAAAAATCTAAAAAAAGTCTGGGACAAGTCATGGTATTCTACCTAGAATTTTTCTTCAGAAACTATTATTATTATTATTATTATTATTATTATTTATTTGCTTTTGATTACAAAAAGCAATAGGTACTCTAATAGATATAGGATGATTTCCAAATAAATAATTTATTTATATCCATATATTTTTTAAAGATTTTATTTATTTACTTTAGAGAGATGGGGAAGGGAGGGAGAAAGAGAGGGAATGAAACATAAATGTGTGGTTGCCTCTAGCACACCCCATAGGGGGTATATGGCCTGCAACCCAGGCATGTGCCCTGACTGGGAATCAAACTAGCGATGCTTTGGTTAGCAAGCCTGCGCTCAATCCACTGAGCTACACCAGCCAGGACTATATCCATATCTTATATTCCACTAAGTAACTCCAGTAAAAAGACCCAAATTGATTTTCCATATAGGTGATAAAGTCTGAATTTAGTTTTATACATTAAGGTATTCAAACCCCATGAAAAAGTGTTGCAATTATAACTCAATCTGTAACAAGCAGACTGCAAGAAATTTGTAGATAATAACAATCAGTTGATTCGTTTTTGCAATCACAGGAGGCTGCACGCTTTCTGCTCCCTGAGAACACTTAGATGATAGCAGAAATGGTTTACTAATGCACAGTAGTCCGTGCACCACAGACAAGTTTGGTATCTAGGTTTTAGTGCATTTAAAATAATTCTAACTGAATAGCACAGTCTAAATTTAAATACCTACAGGACCAGCCATTTAACATAAGCATGTGATTTGGGTGGATCCATAGGATAACAGAGAATGGTGGAGGTTGTAAAACACCTGGAGTATAAGCCTTTCCTAATGTTATTCAAAGTAGTGTTTTTAAATAAAAACACTGTACTGCTTTTTATAACATACAGAGACATCAGTGTTTTAAACACGTTTTGAGTCAGATGCTTTCCTTGAGCCTGAGACCCCTTATCTAAATTTTTAAAATAATAGCAACACTGGATTAAGCAGATTTTTAATTAAAAAAAAAAACAAAGAAACAAAGCCCTGGCTGATGTAGCTCAGTGGACTGAGCACAGGCCTGTGAACCACATGATACTGGTTCGATTCCCAGTCAGGGCAGATGCCTGGGCTGCAGGCCAGGTCCCAGCAGGGGACTCACGAGAGGCAACCATACATTGATGTTTCCCTCTTTCTCTCCTTCCTTTCCCCTCTAAAGATAAATAAATAAAATCTTTAAAAAAATACATATGATGATGATCAGAAAGACAGGAAAAAGCTGGGTCTCTGATGCATTGCCAGCCCTGGCAGTTCCTATTTACAGGAGAAAAAGAAATTCCTATATAACTCAACCACTGCAGTAAGTACTCTGTTACATAAGAAAAAGACCAGTATGTTGGAAAAGTCTGCATGACAGTGCTGTAGAAAGCCCCTTAGATATGTTCTCATAATTTCTTTTACTATCTTCATTTCTTCAAACAAGAGAAAAAATGTGGAAATTAATATATATTACTTCACAGAGTCAACACAGTAGAATGATTGTATTCTGAATTACTGTAGTTAGGAAATATATCTATGACTATATACAGACTAAGACAATTGAAGTTCTATTGCAATTTTATTACATTAAATTCTTAATGGACAGGAGAATAGTAATATTCCTGTGGTTAAGGGCCCCCCAATTTTTACCTCCTAAAGATAAGTGTCTATTAATTTTCTGAGGTAACTAAGGAATGAATTTTGGAGACAGACCTGAATGAGATTCCCCACTCCACCTCTGTGGTAGTCAGTAGGGCTATTCACAAATATGCCTGTGCTCCCTGGTACGTGATCAGACTGGATTTTCTAGCCCCCTTTGAAGTTAGGCATGGCTATATAAGTAGCTTTGATTAATGAAATGTGCTCACAAACAGTATGTGCCACCTCTGGGCGGAAGCTTTGAATGCAGTATATGCTTCATCACCTCCCCTTACCCCTTCTTTGGAGGGGTACCACGTCTTGAGAGTGGCTCCAGCAGCCTGGGTCCCTAGATGACTGCAATGAGCAGAGATCCTCCTGGCAATTCCAGTGGACAGGCAGCATGCAAGAGGCATAAACCATCAATGTACTATGCCAGGCATGTCAAACTCATTTTTACCAGGAGCCACATCAGCCCCACTGTTGCCTTCAAAGGGCAGAAGGTAATTTTAGGACAGTGTGAATGTAACTACTCCTTAACAATTAAGCAAGAGCTTGGTACTGCTGCCTGGTAGAAACAAGGTACGGGGCGGAATAAAACAAGGCGGAGGGCCAGATTCCAGATTCGGTCCACAGGCTTTGTGTTTGCCACCTATGTACTATGTATGCCATTCTAATTTTGGAGTTCTAAGTCACTGGAGCCTAATCCAGTTCATCTATTTTAACAGTGAATTTATTGGGGTGACACTGGATAATGAAATGATACAGGTTTCAGGTGCACAATTCTGTATAGTACATCATCTGTGTATTGCCTGCATGTTCACCATTCCAAGTCAAACCCCCTTCTATCACCATCAATCCTCCCTTTACCCCTTTTTACCTCCCCCACCCTACATCTCCTCTGGTAATCACGATGCTGTTGTCTGTATTTTGGGGGTGTATTTTTTAATTCTTTTCTCTTTTTTTACATAATTCCTCACTTTTTTTGGACCAGCCTCACAACCCACTTCCCCTCTGACAGCTGTCAGTCTGTTCTCTATCTATAAGTCTACTTCTATTTTGTTTGTTAGTTTATTTTATTCATTAGATCCCACATATGAATGGAATAGTGGTATTTGTCTTTCTCTGACTGGCTTATTTCACTCAGAATAATGCTCTCCAGGTCCATCCATGCTGTGGCAAAGGGTGAGTTCCTTCTTTTTTACAGCCAAGTAGTATTCCAGAGAGTAAAGTGTATCACAGTTTTTTTATCCACTCATACTCTGATGGACATGTTGGCTGCTTCCAAATCTTAGCTATCATAAATAATGCTGCAATAAACACTGAGATGCATATATTCTTTCAAATTAGTGTTTCAGACTTCTTCAGATATATTCCTGGAAGCAGAATTGCTGGGTCATAATAATCCAGCCTGTCTTGACTGATGTAATCATGTACTAGCTATATGTCCCCAGACATTATATAATCTCTCTTTGCCTGTTTTCTTCATTTATGAAATGAGGAAAAAAATGTCTACCTTGTAAGATTGTTATTATGGTACAGTAAGGTGATGCATTAAATGATGTTTGACACACTACTTGACAATAAATGATAATATTCCTATATAAATAGCATTATACCTGAGGCAATGTGAAGCTATGTGAGAGATAGACTGGTTCTAAGGAACAAAAAAATCCTCTTATGAAATTAACAAGTTAGAAAAAGGTTACTTGAGGGAGAGTCAAAGTTTTATAAATCCTTTTATCTGCAAGTACAAAGTGAGTTTTCAAGGGACCATTTTTACCAACTACTGGTGCTGAGTAGAGCTAAGGCACTTAGGCTATGGCACCAAGCTTTGCCATGTTATAAAAGTTCACAAGGTAAAACTTCGTAAGTAGAGATGGTTCTACAATAAAAAAAAATTCCCAAGATCAAGGCTTCCAGGGTACAAAAAGCCCTGGTCGATATCATTGTAGCTGAATGAAAATCACCAGCATTTAGTTCAAAATTTTTGTCAATCCAATCAGAAAGGCAAAAAAGGGCAAAGGGATTGACTATTTGAGCATCTAGTATCATGCAATTAACACACAATATTCCACTGAATTCTCACAACAACACTATGAGGTTAACTATTTTTATATTACAGATAAGAAAACAAGCACAAAGAGATTATATGAACTGCCCACTAGCAAAAAGTAATGATGGTAAATGATGAAGTATTAACTGAAACCTGCTTCAAAGCTCGTATCATGCTACTTCAAGTGTTAGAAGAACTGCTTGAAAATAAAAGATGAGGATGAATTAACAGAATAAGGCGGCCATTATTTTGAGGAGCTCTACCTCTACAGAATGAAGCCAGCTGAAAAAGTACTAACCTCCCCATCATCTTAAGGTTTTATAACGATGCCACTAATTAAAGGAAATTGGGGAGAAATGTATGACATAGATTTCTTCCCCAGGAAAGAAGAAAAACACCTATGTTTACAGCAGACAGTAATTGTGTTTCTCAGAGGAATGTACCAACTTTTTTCTATTATTGCTAGATTTGAATAGGCTGAACTTGGGGTTCCCCCACTAAGGTAATTCTGCCATCTGTAATAAGCAACTTGGGGTGTTTCATTATGCATTTCTTCTGCTTATACTCCAGCCAACCACCTTATCACCCCCTCACAAACCACACTGGTCGTCAGACCCTCTTTTCCTCCTCCTAGTGACTATGGCATGATGCTGCTGACGGAGGTAAACAGAGAACTCCAGGGCCTCACCATTACTTTGGCGTTTTATGTTCAATTTTATCTGTAGATAACAATAACAAAAGCTAAAGAGATGAAGGGCCGTGTCTCCATTGTGTACCTCAAATTTTGTCCGGTGTTAGGTGTTACACTCGGAACATAAGATAGGTTCCCTGCTAGAATGGTACATAACTTAACACCAGAAACATGTCTTATAAAACTGGGAAAGGGAGAAGCAGTAATGGCATTAGCAGCAGCAGTATTAGCACAAACCCTATCCTGAACCCCAGCTGCATTACAGTTATTAAACCACCACCAATATCACCACTAAAGCTGCTCTGTAGGATTGTAGTCAAGACTGAATTCCAATTGTGAGAATAAGGGATGCATGTCCACAGAGGACTGTTTTCAGAACCCAAAAGAAGGTGAGGACAATTTAAATCTATAGCTAAATAATATTATATTTTCCCCTCAAGATTTGAACTTTTAATTGGTCCTTGGTCTGACGGTGGCCGATCATAGTTTTCCATCAACCAAAAAGGAAACACAAAGGCTGCGTGGAAAGCAAGCTTAAACAATATTAAGACACTTAAAAACATCATAGTTTATTTTTTGTTGTTCATTTGTTTATTTTCTCTCTCAAAAACTTAGAGGAATAATGGTGAATAGACCAAAAAAAGACAAGCAGAGTAGTACATTAAGTGTTATCTGCCTGCGGCCAGGTGCACAGACATAGAGAACAAGGTTAGTATGGAGGGAGAAAAATCTGAAAATACTTCCTAGTCATTTGGGGTAAGGATTTGGGGTCCCTCATGAATATTTTTCTCAAAGGAGATGAACAGAGAAAGTGAAACTGCCTAGATCCCAAACGAAGCCAGCTGATAGGGACACACACATACAAAAAGCATACCCATGAAGAAACATCTCTGACTCTGACATTTCCATGTCTCGGGGAAGGAGAGAGGAGAGGAAAAGACAAGTGAATGCCTGCTCCTGGCATTCTTTAAGTCTCCTTGCTCTGAAGGCGTTTTTGGTCTTGCTTGGTAACAAGCCCAATTACTCTGACTTGAGCTTGTACCCACTATTGAAATTTTCTTCATGGCTAAGGCACCTTTTTATATAATAGTAACCATAGTATTTAACGAGAGAAAGAGAGAGAGAGAGAGAGAACGCAGGAAAGAGTATTTGGTGTCTGTGTGTGCATGTGTGTTAGTTAAAAAAACTTAATTTAGTCATATTTGTTATCCTCTGATTTTTCTTCTTGAGTTGTATTTATCACATTTCAGTGATTAAAAAAAACCTAACAATTTAAATTTGATTTCGCTATTTTTTTCTTTTGCCAGAAGTGCAAAATTACTTACATGTTCCAAAGACTGAGATGTTAATGAGTGCAATAAAACATTCTTTACTGATGATTATTAATCATCTATGAATCATCAGGCTTTCATGAAAATTAAATAAAATGATGACTGCAGGTTATAATCTTTTCAAATTTTTCTTAAGAAGTTTTATCTTTTTTACACTCTAAGTATGGTTAATAAGATAAACAGGAAGTTGGTATACCTCCTCAAATAAAAGAAACAAAGCAAAAAAGTAACATGTCCTTCTTTTAATTAAAAAGAAAAAAAGTAGTGTACAGAAGCATGAATACTAAAAGGGAAATACAAAATACTAAAAGAAAATTCTAGGCCCCCAAAACCTATATTTAATGTTGTGATACTCATATGTAATTTAGCATATTGTAAATGTTGTTGTTTGCACAGCTTAGAATAAACATATAAATAATTTTAAATAATGGGATCTGGAATGCTAAACTAACAGAAAAACACCAGAGAGGAAAAGACTATAAATATAGACAAATCTCTATCACAGATTCATTCCGCTTTTCACTTGAGTTACAAATTAAACAAGCTCTGCATTTCCAAACTTTGTAAATAAATTTTAACCAAAATCCTACTTCCAAAAAACTACATAACCTTCCAAAGACACACATACCTCTTGTATGTAATTACTTTTCTCCAAAATGGAAAGAGCAACAGCTACGCACTCCAGTGCGACAGAAACCTATGAGCTGGTTGCCCCCGAATCACATGCTGACTAGAAATGCTCGTTTTCAACTGCACCTGAAACTGGAACACAGAATAGAATGTCATTTTTGTACTAAATTTAAAACTATAAAGTCTACATTCTAAATACTAATTACTGCAATTTCCTTCTAAAATTTCCAGTTTAGAAATAGTAAATGTACCTACATTTTTTATATATAATACCCTTATGCTATTGTCAAATAGTAGCAGGAAGAGGATATCTTCGCATATATCTGACAAAGAAAATATACTCAAAATAAAGACAAATTCCTACCAAGCAAAAATGGATTGACTAATAACCCCTTCTCAGTGGGCAAAAGACTGAATAGACTTCACAAAGAAGATATAAGAATGGCAAATAGGTATGTGTAAAAGGGCTCAACATGATTTCATGTAATTAAAACACAATATTTCATACTCCCCAGAATAGTTAAAATCAAAATTATTAACAACACCAAATGGGGAGAATATGGAGCAAATGAAACTCCCATACACTGTGGTGGGGGTGAAAATGGTTTACTCACTTTGAAGAATCTATTTTATGGTTTGTCCTCCCACTATTTCTTAATGTAAATTGATAGGTGTATGTCTGTGTGGGTGTGAATATATATAAACACAGAGACATACAGATACCCACATATGTATGTATGTATATATATATATATATATATATATATATATATATCCTCTCTTTTTAGATAAACACAGCATACTATGTATATTTTATTCATGAAAATAACATTTTAGCTGAGAATGACTGAGTCAGATGTAAGAAAGACAATAGAAATTTGAGTGTCAACAATTTGGCTATCAGATTCCTATTTTAATTTAATTAAGTAATCTTACACTCATAAAGCCATATTCTACCCCACACTCTGATCAGAATCACATTTAAAGATGCATGGATGAGAATTTCAGTTTTTACTCATAAAACATATAAGCATGAGGACTGAAGGTAGACCGACTATACACAGCACCTTCCTAAAATCAGGTGTTTTATTTTCTAGGATCACTAGAGTCCTATGAGTCTCTCATTCCTACACCATCACACATGGCATCTTGTCCCTCAATCCCTTCCCTCCTTTGTTTCTCATTCAGTCCCCAAAGGATGAGAAATATGGGTCTTCTAATAAAAGTGCTTTTTATTCAAATAATTCTTCCCTCCAACTTGTTTTTTTTTTCCTCAGAAACAGGAAGAGAGAAGAGAAGGAAAGAAGAAGAAGGGGAGAGGAGAGGGAGAGAGAAAAAAAGGAGGGTGGGAGGAAGGGAGAGAAGTGGGTATCATAAAAGATTCACAACAAATGTATTTGGTTTTAGAACACATCCTTTAAATTACATTTGACTAATAATGTTTTAGATATGATCATGTTAAAGTTATTCTGCATTTCTACCAATAGACAAGATGAAAAACAGATGTGAGGAGGAAAAGAGATGGAGAGAAATGATTAAGAAATATGCATAATGATAAAAGAAAGCCTATGATTAAATAACTGTAAGAATAATTCATGATGTTGATTAACCGTCATGACTAATGGCTTAATATTTCATCAGGTCAACCTATATGGACAACTACTGTTTCAATACTCAATTTCAAATCATCACTTGAGGAATTTATAATAGTCATCTGATTATAAGAAAACCTTTGGAAAACATGCAAAATTCACAGTAAATTTTGTTTATTGGAATGACTTTGATTTTTAAAATAAATTTCTTATTTCAAAGAGGTATTTTAATTCTTACTGTGACCCACATGGCTAGATGAAAACTCGGAATTTGACATTTATCATATGCTACACTTCATAAGTTATATAAATGTCTAATCATGGGGTTGTACACCGGAAACTAATATAACATTGAATGCCAACTGTAATCTAAAAATTTTTTAAATTTACCCTGACTGGCATGGCTCAATATGCTGGGAATTGTGCCACAAACCAAAAGGTCACCAGTTCAATTCCCAGTCAGGACACATGCCTGGGTTGTGGGCCACATACCCACCTGGGGGCGAACGAGAGATAACCGATCAATGTTTCTCTCACACACTGATGGTTTTCTCTCTCTCTCTTTTCCCTCCCCTGTCTGTAAAATAAATAAAATAATTTTTTTTTAATTTTAAGGAAAATTACTTATGGCCAAGATGGAGGCATAGGTAGATACCCTGTGCTTCCTTGCACAACCAAAATAAGGACAACAACAATTTAGAAACAAAACAACAACCAGAAATGACAGAAAATTGAACTGTATGGAAGTCGGACAGCCAAGGAGCTGAAACAGACACATTCGTCCAGACCACTAGGCGGGGCAGAGTTGGGCGGCTGAGCGAGCAGAAAGGGGCCGAGGCACAAGAAGTGCTGACACCAGGCACGCAAGGCACCCAGGACACAAGACGGCAGAGGGCGACCCCTGGACACGCAGGCAGCAGCTGGCAGACCCCAGACGTGGGGTGGCAAGCGGGGACTGTGAAGTGAGGCACTGTGCACAAGCGGCCCCACATTCGCGTGCAGATAACTGGGGAGTGAGGCAGACTGAGAAACCCAGGGTCCTGGCACTGGGGAAATAAAGCCTCCAAACACAGATTAAAGACAACTGTGGAGGTTGAGGCTGAGGGAGAGACTCCCAGCCTCACAGGGGAGTTCAATGGAGAGACCCAGAGGGTCCTAGAATGCACACAAGCCCACCCACAAGGAACCAGCACTAGAAAAGCCCAGTTTGCTTGGGGGAAATGGGGAAAGAGACTGAGGTTGAACAAACAGCTGAGCAAGCACCATTGTTCCCTCTTTGACCCTGCCCCCACATACAGCATCACAACCCAGCGACTTTTTTGGGTTGCCCTGCCCTGGTGAACACCTAAGGCTCCACCCCTTATATGTAACAGGCATGAACAGACAAAAAAAAATGGCCGAAACAGAAGAACAGATCAAAGCTCCAGAAATAATACAACTAAGCAACCAAGAGATAGCCAACCTATCAGATGCACAGTTCAAAGTACTGGTTATCATGATGCTCACAGAATTGGTTGAATTTGGTTTGGCCGCAAATTATATGAAAAAATGAAGGCTACACTAAGTGAAATTAAGCAAAATGCACAGAAAACCAATAGTGATGGGAAGAAAACCAATAGTGATGGGAAGAAAACTGGAATTCAAATCAATGGAGTGAACCAGAAAGAAGAAAGAAACAACCAAACAGAAAAGAAGGAAGAAACAAGAATTCAAAAAAATGAGGAGAGACTTAGGAACTTCCAGGACATCTTTAAACGTTCCAACATCTGAATTATAGGGGTACCAGAAGGGGAAGAGGAAGAGCAACAAGTGAAAAACTTATTTGAACAAATAATAAAGGAGAACTTCCCCAATCTGGCAAAGGAAATAGACTTCCAGGAAATCCAAGAAGCTCAGAGAGTCCCAAAGAAGTTGGACCCAAGGAGGAACACACTAAGGCACATCATAATTACATTAGCCAAGATTAAAATGAAGGAGAGAATTCTAGAAGCAGCAAGAGATAAGGGGATAGTTACCTACAAAGGAGTTCCCATCAGACTGTCAGCTGATTTCTCAAAAGAGACCTTACAGGCAAGAAGGGGCTGGAAAGAAGTATTCTAAGTCATGAAAGACAAGGTCCTACATCCAAGCTTACTCTATCCAACAAAGCTTTCATTTAGAATGGAAGGGCAGATAAAGAGCTTCTCAGACAAGGTCAAGTTCAAGGAGTTCATCGTGACCAAGCCCTTATTATATGAAATGTTAAAGGGACTTATCTAAGAAAAAGAAGATAAAAAATATGAACAGTGAAAGGACAGCAAACTCATAATTATTAACAACAGCACCTAAAACAAAAACAAACTAAGGAAACAACTAGAACAGGAACAAAACCACAGAAATGGAGATCACATGGGGGAAAACAACAGGGGTGGGGAAAGGTACAGAGAATAAGTAGCATAGATGGTAGGTAGAAAATAGACGGGGAGGGCAAGAATAGTATGGGAAATGTAAAAGCTAAAGAACTTAAGACACATGGACATGAACTAAAGGGAGGGAATGTGGGTGGGAGAGAGTGTGCAGGGAAGGGGGGAATGAAAGGAGGAAATGGGACAACTGTAATAGCATAGTCAATAAAATATATTTTTAAATTTTTTAATTAAAAAAAACTTCCACAAATTTTAATTTTCCCACTCTCAACTTGGAAACAGCTTCTATTTCTTTGCATTTTACAAAAATCTATTTCTACTGCATTTCTATTTCTATTGCATTTTACAATAGAAAAAAATTGAGGAAATTTTTAAAAAGCTCATACATAACTAATAAACATCTTCATAAAACTAAATAAAAAGGATCTTTTTTAAAAAATCAAACAGCTGGACCTAAGGGTGTTAAAACCTATCTTTCAGCAATCAACCCGAAGGATATATTTCACATATATATAGATAATTATATATTAATCCATTATATATCACCATTACTAGTATAGGTTATAAAATTATAATAATATATATCATTTTAATGTCCAAATTTTGGAAGTCATGCTGTACAAAAACTGCTTCAGTAATTTTGAACTCTTTGGAAGTTGGTTCTCTATGGGTATAAGCTGTTTGAGTGCTCTTATTATAACTTCTTTCAAAACAGGAAAATCATTGGTTGGTGTAGAATTCTACCAGTATAAAGTGAGCACTCAAAATTCCATCTCAAAAACAGCCAGCTCTTCCACATCTTATTTCTAGACTTCTTATTTCTAGGCTTCAGATCTTTTTCACTGATTCTCTGAATTGACTAAAATTTGAATTCCTGGAAATTCTTTCGTTGTTATAATACCCTCACTTCTCTTCCATTAAATCTTAAATATACAAGGTCTCTCCAGAAAATGTCCAGCCATGTGATATGAAAAATAAAGACATTTATAAGCCCTGGCTGGTGTAGCTCAGTGGATTGAGTGCGGGCCTGCGAACCAGAGTTTCGCAGTTCGATTCCCAGTCAGGGTACATGCCTGGGTTGCAGGCCAGTTCCCAGCAGGGGACTCACGAGAGGCAACCACACATGGAT